TGGGAAACGGATCACGTGCTAGCTTTGCCGGCAAATTCGACCCGCATCAGATTTACAAACTGTGGATGGGCCGGGCTTCATCACAACGTAACCCGCCCCGTGCGGGGCAAGACAAGACGCTCTGGCCGAAATGTGTTTGTAGCGGCTGGAGGATCAGCTCGCCACGCAGCGGAAGCGCTGCACAGCTTGGCCCCAGACCAGTTCATGGGCCACGTCCCGAAGAGGAAAGACGACGGAGAACGAGGAACAAATGGGGGGAGGACGGGGACGGGGGAGGCCAGTCAACTCGGCAAGGACCTGAATGAAAATTTGGGCGACATGCACGCCAATATGCTCCCACAACTATACGAGATCGCGAACACCGGAAGAGGGGCCAGGGGCCAAAGGGCAGTCAAACCAAGGCCATGGCTCGGAGGCACGTGCCACGTAGACCTGGGTCAAGGAGTGGCCAACGCGCGATTGTCACATCGTTTGGCCACATTTGAGGCGCTTGCGTTAGAGGATTCGGTGCAGCTTGTGCTGGGCAACGTCATGTCGCTGCCAGCCGCCCATGTGATAGATGGAGCATGCTTTACCCAATCCCAGCGGCTTAATTGCTGCATACTGGCAAACAGATGGCTTGCGCCAAGGAGGCGTGACCAACATCGGCCTCCGGGCGAGGGGTGGGCTCACACCACGCAGCTTGCTGAGTGCGGGCAACTGCGCCACCCGCCTGAAACTATCAGGGATGTCGCGTCGCCTACGGCCCTTACGGTCCAGGGCGCTGTCTGGAATCTCCTCTCGTCTCGCCAGGCGGCCCCGCGGCGCCCGGCGCCCACGAGGCGCTCTTTGCACGGCCGGGCCACCGTCGCCGCCAACGCCCGGACCGCGGCGCGGCGCAGCCAGCCACAATCCGCCAGGGGGGCCTCGCCAACTGCTCCAGCGCAGCAGCTCGTGGGCTTGGGCGGTTCGATCAGGTCATGCGCGGCCTTGGGGAGCTCCCCGAGCTCCGCGGCCTCGGAGTCGCCGCCCGAGGATTGCGATGAACGGGCCTCGGCGATGCCCCACGAGGAGCGCCCCATGGCGCGAGTGGCCTCCTCTGCAGCCCCGGCGGCGGCCTCGGGCGGCCGGCCGGCGGCTCGCCCGGCGGCCCCCCCTGGCGGCCCGCGCGGCGCGCCAATCCAAAGTGCCCCTAGTTCCTCGGGCGCCCAGCGGCCGCCCCGGCAGCCTCGGCGGCGGGCCCGGCGGCCTCGGCGCCCTCGCCGGCGTCCGCGCCGGCTCTGCCCCTCCACGGGGGTCTGGGTCGTCGGGCAGCCCCTTGTCGCGCATGCCCAGCGCGTCGAAGAGGCCCCGCCCCCCGCCCAGCGCATTCGCTCCAGCCACCACGGCTGCTGGTGTCAGGACACGGCCCCTTGGTCTGTCAGAGCTCGCCGCAGGGCAGAGCCTGGCCAGGCCGCTGGAACGTCGGGCGAGGCACCTCGGCGGCCCCGACCCAACCCAGCCGAAGCGCCCTGCCTGGATCGCGCCGGCGATGTGCTCGAGGAGCTCCCCTATTCGAACTACCCACTACGTGCCAATCCCGCGCGCAGGCGCCCCAAGTTGGCCAGCGCGGTGTAGCAGCCGCGCTGGTCTCCGCGCAGCACATCGCCCGGGCGCCCTGCCAGCAACTGCCAGCCAGCGCACCGCTGAGCTGGAAAACCCGCGCGGGTTCGCGGTGTCGCCAGGACCTTGTCGAGGGGCGCGTCCTCGAAGGTCAGCGCCCCCCCCCAGCGCTGCAGGCCCTGGGCCTCGACGTCCACGAGTGCCCCGAAATGCAATCGAGCAGTGCGGGGCCGCGTGCGCCTGGTTGACGAGCTCCTGGAACGTCGGACTCGGCATGCGGCAAAACCTGGCGCTCGCATTCGTGGGCTCCCAGCCGGGCGGCGCACCTCATGGGCCCGCGGGCCTCTCCGTTGGCAGCGAGCAAGGTCGAGCTGCCACGCGCGCGGTGGGACAGCCACCCGCGCCCTTGAGCAGGAGCTGGACCAGGTCGTGGGTGGGCACGAAGTGCCCAGGCTGAGCCACAGGGTACCCCAAGGCCAGCCCGAGCCATCCACCAGCCACGAAGAAGTCGCGGACAGTGTGCGTGTCCAGGCCTCCATGGCAGGTGGCCTCGGCAGGCGCCAACATCTGCGTGCCCGCCGCGCTGGAGCCCGCGAGCCCTGCAGCTTTCAGGATCCAGGTTCCAGTCGCCGCCTGCCAGCCATGGCAGTTGATGCCCTCTGGCGTGGTGGACCAGCGTGCGAAGGGCTGTTCCTGCACGAACGAAATGGAATATGTCAGGCCCAGAATCTCATCCAACACTTGGGTACCCGTCCCCCACAACGTAGCATTCACTGAGGCAAAATGGAAAGGCTCACCAGCCCGCCCCCCCCCCCTGAACTCAGCTGCGGACACCCGAAATCTGGCATTACTGGCGATACTGGATCGCCCCTTGCGCCGATTAGGAACGCTTCGTACGATTGACCATGTTGAAGTCCCTCATGGCCGCGATGAGGGCCCGCTTGGCGTCGGGTCCAGTGGCTGCGGTCAGCAGGGCGTCTGTAGTGGCTCAGCCGAAGTGCTCTGGCATATGTTTGTCGGCGGCGGGGTCGCGACGCCTCCGTTCCCGCAGTGCCAGCAGCAGCAGCCAGGAGCCAGGGCAACAGCAGCATGAGGTAAGAGAACGAGGAAGCGGTCGGGGCATGGAGGTGTGGTGGACGGGGGCGGCGGTCCCTAGAGATTCCACGAGGCCTCTGGCTTCTGCTACAACATAGCAATATGTTGTGTACATTCATAGTTGGCACAGTATCTATAGCTCATGGTTTAAAACGTGATATATGGAAGATGGTCTGCAAGAAACATAATATGGTATCTGCTGAATGCGATGTGCATGCATGCCTGTCGGTCCGTATGTCTGTCTGTATGCATGCATGCTGGTAGGTAGGTATGCATGCATGTATGTTTGTATGTTGGTAATAATGGATGTCGGTACGTACGTATGTATGGATGTATGTATGTATATGTATGTGCATGAATGCATGTATGGATGTATGTATGCGTGTATGTATGTGTATGCACGTATGTATGGGTGCTTGTATGCATGCATGTATGCATACATTCGTGTATGTGCATACGCATGTATGTGCGCATGCATGCGTGCGTGCATGCATGCATGTATGTATGCATGCAGGTATGTAGGTGGGTAGGTAGGCAAGTAGGTATGCGTGTATAAATGTGTACAGAGATAGATATGTGTATGCAAGCCACCGGTCTGCCGGACACGGAGTGGGCGTGTCCTCAGGGCTTTTGCCCAATCCCGAGCCTCAACCATCACTCCTGAAGAGTCTTTAAGGGGCCCGGAGCCGAAATTGCCAAATCCGCCGGGACTTGTTCCATAGGCCCCTGGGGGTCCTGGCGTCTTCTCGCGAGATTTTCTCGGGCCCAAGAGGGTTCCAAGACGGGCCACGAGGGCCCCAAGAGGCCGCCAAGATGGTTCAAGAGGGCCCCGAGACGCCCAACGATCGCTCCGCCTCCAACACGTCCCAAGAAGCCTTCAAGATCCCTCCCAAGAGGGCCCCACGAGGCAAGCATCATTGATTTTCCTGAGGTGTTTGAAGGATTTGGGCGTTCTTGCCTTTTCGGTTTTCCTGCCCCAGAGGGGCCCAAGAGAAGGAACACGAACCGAGAAGCCGAGCCTTCCGCTCCAGCAGGCCCCCAGGAGGCCCCCAAGAGACCCAACAGAGGCCCCACAACGGCACCCCAAAGGCCTCAAACATGCCTCCAAGGTGCCCCCGAGAGGCCTCCCACGAGATCCCAACAAACATCCAATAGGCTTCATACCCACAACCCAGGCACGGTAGCGGGATGGGCCGAAGGCCATCAGATAGGCCTCCTCCTCGGGGGATGGGATAGATGGGGCGACAGGCAAGGTGGAGCGGAGCGGAAACCGCAGCTGCGAGGACCCGCACGGGCACGGAAATCAAGAGAGGTCGAGCCTCGCGGGTGGCCATGCCCTCGTCCTGGCAAGGCAGAGAGGGCGTGTCATGCAATTGCTACCAAAGGAGGCGGGGGGAGAGGAGGAGGAATCCCTGATGATGCTCGCTGATGCTTACGCGTCTCATCCCGCCTCCTCCTCCCCCTTCCCAGGTTCCTGCTCCTGCCCTTGCCCATGATCCATGGACGCTGGCTGCCGCCACCTTGGCCTCCACATCTTGCCCACGAATCTCTGAAGTTAGCTGGCGTGCATCGGGTGGTCTGCACGAGCTCTGCGAAGGGCAACGAGGCGAGAGGCATGAAGATGGGGCAGCACAGTAAGAGGAGGAGGAGGAGGAGGTGGAGGAGGAGGAGGAGGAGGAGGAGGGAGGAAGAGTAGGAGCAGCGGCAATAAAGATCAAGGAGGGAGGAGGAGGAGGAAGAGGAGGAGGAGAGGAGGAGGAGGAGAAAGGGGAGGGGGAAGAGCAGGAGGAGAAGGAGGAGGAGGGAGGAGGAGAGGAGAGGAGGAGGAGGAGGAGGAGGGAGGAGAAGGGAGGGGGGAGGAGGAGGAGGAGGAGGGAGGAGGAGGAGGAAGATAAGGAGGAGGAGGAGGAGGAAGAGGGAGGAGGGAGGAGGAGGAGGAGGAGGAGGAGGAGGAGGAGGAGGAGGAGGAGGAGGAGGAGTAGAAGAAGGAGGAGGAGGAGGGGGAGTTGCACATCCACGGCCTGCGGAGCAAAACAACACGAAGGAAGAGGGGGGAGGAGGGAGAGGAGCGCGAGAGCGCAGAGGCGCGAGGAGAGCGCAAAGGGCATGGTGACCACCAGTGGATGCCCCCCGCAAAAAACGGTCGACCACAAGGCCAGCCCGGCACGCCTCCTGGCGCGCTACGCCACGCCCCTCGCATATCCTTGCCGCGGGGGGTGTTGCGTTAAACGAATGGTGCCGCTTGCGGTCGGGTGCCGCAGAGGCGTAAACGGCGCGGTGCTATGGCCAGCGGGGGGCCAATGAGACCGCGGCCCTCGCGCGGCCTACCGCATCTGCGGCTCCGCTGAACTACTCGGCAACTCGCTGTTTGAGAGGTGCCGGCACGATACCCAAAAAAGTAAAACATGGCTCCACTTCTGAAGGGTGTTGAGGTCATTCAGCTGGAAGTCGAGTAGCGATAGGCAGTGCGACAAAAGGCGGGCCATACTTAGATTGTGCACAATAAACGCACGTACATATATTTATGTATACATACATAGATATTCACAAATACTCAGAGAGAGAGACACACAGGAAAAGAGAGAGGGCAAGATAATATGACGCCAACTGTGGAGAACTGGACGGGAAGAGAGACATTGAGAGAGAGGAACAGAGAGGTCGCAGACACTATAGGGTAGACCATCAACACAACGGCACTCTTCAGGAAGCGCGACGCCAAGAGCGGGGACAAATCCCCCGCATGGACAACTAACAAAAAAACACGAAAGCAAGGTGAACCTTTTGAACACCTTGGACGGCGGTGGATTTCGGGTTGCAGAGGACGCCAGCTTTGGGCTGGACAGCTGTCACTATCAAGCCATCTCCCTCCGAGCCTGATGTCACTCTGGCACCGTCGCGGCGAAATACCTGCCGTACAGCAACTCCTTCCAGGAGACTCCAAGCTTATACGCAGGCGTCAATCCTGCGCTGGTCCACCCGAGGCCTGGGACTGGTGCAGACGCCCTCTTGGCCTGACCAGGAGGGCTTACCTGCGCTGCAGGCCCCTGCCGTGAGCACATCGGCTCTGGCTTCTCGGGCGCGGCCTGACCGACCCCTAGCAAACCATCTCCTTCCGTGACGTCACCCTCGCCTGTCGAGATCCCCTCCGGCCGCATACACACGTGTTGGGGCGAGGCGAGGGTGACGTCACGGAAGGGGATGGCTTGGCCGCCCCTGAACTTCTGGCACACGCTCGATCCTGAACGATCTCCGCCCTCGGCTCCCGGAAGCCTAGGCCACCTAACCTGGCGCATCGCGCTCCGCGGTGCGCAATCGTCCTCGCGACGGCTTCCTTGGAGAAGGGACACAGCTCTGGCCGAGACCGCGACATGCGAAGCGCGACCATCTTTCGCGCCCCCGCGGGCGACCTATAGGACACCGTCGGCCCCATCCCTTCGTGCAGCTGTCGCTCCGCGAGCTGCCTCCTCCGGGAAGGAGGCCCAGGGGGGCGTGAGAGCTCCGAACGCCCGCGCTGGCAGTGCCGCCGCGCCGACGCGCCGCGAACCCGCCGCACCCTGGGCCCAGGATCAGGGGGGCGTAAGACCCGGGTACAGGGGACTCGAAAATCCCCGACGAGGTCGTCAAAAAAATGACGAGGCGCGGTCGTCAAAAAACGATGGCGAACCCGAGTCCTGGCAAACCCGGGTCTTACGCTCCCCCGACAGGATGGGCGTGGCCACGATCTGCGAGGCGGGGATCCGTCCACAAACACCTACCGGGGGGGGGATCGATCTTCTGTTTGGGTCGAAAGGGGGTCCAGCTGAAAGGGGGTGGTGCAATAGATTGGGGGCCACTGTATCGCAAACGTATTGCGCCAGAGAGTTGTATTGCATTGTATTGCATCGAAAGTATTGCACGCGAAAACCCAGAAATACATTTGCGCCCCCGCCCCACATGCATTGCAACCCCACGAATATATTGCACCAAATCTATTGCACCACCCCCTTGTCGCTGGACCCCCTTTTGGGTCAATCCGATTCTGGTGGACCTCGGCGGGCGGCAGATGCCGATGGAAGGCTCGATCACATGCGAAAAGGGCTCCTGGGGGGAAACAAAAAAACGAAAGGGACTCAGAAACTACCATCGGCGGTGGACAAGCCTCCCTTTAGTAAACCTCCCCTTCGTGAAAACGGCCTGGGACCGAAACCGACGTGCCTGGACCCGCAAAAATGACGGCCGCGACGCCCTCTCTTGAACCGAAAACGGCCAATTCCTTAATCGACGTGTCAGGGTAGGAGGTCTATCAACCTCCGATACCGAAAAACAAGACAAAACCCACAATCACGGTAATGACACGTGACACGGCCGGCCGTCCGCGGAAGGACCTGCCTGCTGCCTTTGCTGCTCCTAGACTTCTTGGCCAGACCAGTTTGCGAAGGTGGCGCAGCCCCCAAACTGCTCGAGGAGGCCTCACTGGTCGAAGGCAGGTCTACACACACGTACATGTGCACATACACCTACGTATATGCACATATCTGCATGCCCCGCCCCCAGGGCCCGAACATGCATCTACGTCCGCCTCCCGCCGAGGTCCCTCTAGATCGATCCCACGGGTGGTAGGAATGGATGACCGGGCCAGGCTAAGGGAGGAGACAGTATCGAGGGGGCTAGCGAATCAGCCCACGCAGCCGGTCCTCCCACCGCCGCCCGGCGACGAGTGTGCGAATGTGGCGAGGACTGGGCGCGGCGGCGGGACCGAAACCAGTTGTACGCGGCAAGCGTCGCACCTCCCCTTTCCCGATCACCCCCCCGACCCAGGTCATCCACAACCGCCGCCTTGGGGTACAGGCCTGCGCACACCTCGACGGGCGGCGGATGGCTGCTGAGATGTTTGGCCCCCCCCGATAACCGACTGCATTCACATCCGCCGCCTGCCGAGGTCCCCGACGACGGACCCCTCATGCGGTGGGCAGGGGGGACAAACAGGTGCCGACACCGCCACTCCCCGGGCCTGGCAGGAACTTCGAGGGGACTCCTGCCGTGGCGACGAGGGCTCTCGAGGCCGAGCAGCGGTATCGGCATCTCTTCCTCCTCGGAAGTTCTGTTGTGAAGGGGCCCAGCGACACACACACACACACAAAAACAAATAAACACAAATCCAAGGTCCCCCATATGTTTCAATCTTTGTCGGATGTGAGCCCCCCCCGAACTCGCACAAAAGTGCAATGTGCTCATGGGAGTCGACGATCCTGTGTGCTTGTGTTGGTTCCCTCCTGCCTGCTGCTGGCGTGAAGACAACGGGTCCTGAGGGAATCGGGCCCCTGGACCCCGCGGCCTTCCAGCAGGGCCCACTCGTCGCCCCGAGCAGACCCCGGAAGCTCCCCGAGGGGGCCCGCACGGAGGGCTCCCGGAGGCCGAACGCGGCGAGGGACCCAGACCCCCTCGCGTCGGGAAAAAATGACGACGGAAGGTTTTTCACTATTTTCGCCCTCTGGAGGTCCTCACCGGGCCGCGGGAGCGTCAAACAACGACTCAGGATGAAAAACCGGTCCCGGGGAAAGGGTCCAGACCTCTGGGGGTCGACGTCATGAAAAAATCACGACGTCGGGGGTCTGGGGACACCCCAGGACCCGCTTCCCTCCGGACCCGGCTGCTCCATCATGGCGAAGCATGCCGGGAGCGGCAGCGCCTCCTCGCGGTCTGGACTCCACGGCGCGATCCAGCGGATACGCGGTCACACGGCGACGTTCCGCGCGGGGCATCCGCGAAAAGATGCCCCAAATCCGCGGGGTCGCGGCGCAAGGCCCGCGAGGCCGTGGATAGTTTTTACCTAACAGCGAAGACTGATAGGTTTCCAGTAGTCTCAAAAGAGAGCATCATGACTCTCCAAGGGGGTCCGGGCAGGATCCGGGGAGAATCCGCGGAAGTCGTTTTAAGCAAACAGTTACACACTTCGTGGTCTTCGAGGTCCCAGAACTCCATTCCCGGGCCACATTCTGAATGCCTGGAGCCACCTGTAGGCCACTTCGTGGTCTTCGAGTTCCCAGAACTCCATTCCTGGGCCACAACTTGAATACCCGGAGCCAACTGTAGGCCACTTCGTGCTCTTCGAGCTCACAGAACTCCATTCCCGGGCCACACTTTGAATGCCCGGAGCCAACTGTAGGCCACTTCGTGCTCTTCGAGTTCCCAGAACTCCATTCCTGGGCTTGATTTTGAATGCCAGAGCCAACTGTAGGCCACTTCGTGCTCTTCGAGTTCCCAGAACTCCACTGCCGGGCCACATTTTGAATGCTGAGGCAGGCTGATGCTGAGGCTGAGGCAGGCTGAGGCTGAGGCAGGCTGAGGCTGAGGCCGAGGCTGAAGGCAGACTGAGGCTGAGGCTGAAGCAGGCTGAGGCTGAGGCTGAGGCTGAGGCTGAGGCTGCAGGCTGAGGCAGGCTGAGGCTGAGGCTGAGGCTGATGCAGGCTGAGGCTGAGGCAGGCTGAGGCTGAGGCCGAGGCTGAAGGCTGAGACTGAGGCTGAGGCTGAAGCAGGCTGAGGCTGAGGCTGAGGCAGGCTGAGGCTGAGGCTGAGGCTGAGGCTGAGGCTGAGGCTGAGGCAGGCTGAGGCTGAGGCCGAGGCTGAAGGCAGACTGAGGCTGAGGCTGAAGCAGGCTGAGGCTGAGGCTGAGGCAGGCTGAGGCTGAGGCTGAGGCAGGCTGATGCTGAGGCAGGCTGAGGCTGAGGCTGAGGCTGATGCAGGCTGAGGCTGAGGCAGGCTGAGGCTGAGGCCGAGGCTGAAGGCAGACTGAGGCTGAGGCTGAAGCAGGCTGAGGCTGAGGCTGAGGCAGGCTGAGGCTGAGGCTGAGGCAGGCTGAGGCTGAGGCTGAGGCTGAGGCTGAGGCTGAGGCTGAGGCTGAGGCTGAGGCTGAGGCTGAGGCTGAGGCTGAGGCTGAGGCTGAGGCTGAGGCTGAGGCTGAGGCTGAAGGCAGGCTGAGGCTGAGGCTGAGGCTGAGGCTGCAGGCTGAGGCTGAGGCTGAGGCAGGCTGAGGCTGAGGCTGAGGCAGGCTGATGCTGAGGCAGGCTGAGGCTGAGGCTGAGGCAGGCTGAGGCTGAGGCCGAGGCTGAAGGCAGACTGAGGCTGAGGCTGCAGGCAGGCTGAGGCTGAGGCAGGCTGAGGCTGAGGCTGAGGCAGGCTGATGCTGAGGCAGGCTGAGGCTGAGGCTGAGGCTGATGCAGGCTGAGGCTGAGGCAGGCTGAGGCTGAGGCCGAGGCTGAAGGCAGACTGAGGCTGAGGCTGAAGCAGGCTGAGGCTGAGGCTGAGGCAGGCTGAGGCTGAGGCTGAGGCTGAGGCAGGCTGATGCTGAGCAGGCTGAGGCTGAGGCTGAGGCTGATGCAGGCTGAGGCTGAGGCAGGCTGAGGCTGAGGCCGAGGCTGAAGGCAGACTGAGGCTGAGGCTGAAGCAGGCTGAGGCTGAGGCTGAGGCAGGCTGAGGCTGAGGCTGAGGCAGGCTGATGCTGAGGCAGGCTGAGGCTGAGGCTGAGGCTGATGCAGGCTGAGGCTGAGGCAGGCTGAGGCTGAGGCCGAGGCTGAAGGCAGACTGAGGCTGAGGCTGAAGCAGGCTGAGGCTGAGGCTGAGGCAGGCTGAGGCTGAGGCAGGCTGAGGCTGAGGCTGAGGCAGGCTGAGGCTGAGGCTGTGACTGCGACTGCCGTTGCCACTGCGACTGTCATCGCGAATGCGACTACGACTGCGAGAACAGCAGAATTCTACAACTGGATTCTCATCTGAATCTTAAAGGGAAGGCTTCCAAATATGCTCCTACACATCGCTGTTAGGTTGCTTTGCCGGGATAATTGCACACGAATCGGCTACACGCAAGAGTGACCCTGGGCAAGAGGCAAGAGTGACTTTAAGTGCGCGGCCTAGCGGGGGACACGGGGTGGCCAAAACCTGGGCGCGCAAGCCGCTTCTACCGCTGCGCGTTCTGCGATCGGAAGGATCCCGATGGGCCCGCACCAAAGGTCACTCAGGCGAAGGGTCTCTCTTACGTGTAACCCTGTGCCTCCGAGAATAATACTGAAGGGATAATGGAACTCAGGGTCCAGGAGGGATAACAAACTTTCCCCGGAGACATCGATGTTAGGATCTGGATTGGTCTTCAAGATCAGTTTCAAGAGCCTCCATGACCCTTCTAGACGGCCTCCTCGCGGATGTGGGAAAGCGGAGGAAGAGGAGGAGGAGGAGGGGGAGGAGGAGGAGGAGGAGGAGGAGGAGGAGGAGCAGGAGTCGTTACTCCGTGACTTGCGCGCACGAAGATGGACAGATCCCCGCCTCGCACGGCCGGCGTCGGTGCACACTTGGCGCCCGCCCTCCTTCGGGCACCGCGCCCGCAGCCACCGGCGCCCGCCCGCCGGCGCGGGCTCGCGGAAGGCCACCGCGTCGCCCGGCCGCGCTCCCTGGCCGCCGCCGCCCCCCCCCGCCGTGGGCGCTGCCGCCGCGCCCTGCCGCCGAATTAGTAACAAATGAAGTTGAAAATGATGCAACAAATGAAGATAAAAATGTGATGATGATGATGAACATGATTAACTTATTACTTAAATGTGCGTGCCCCTCCCCCCCAGACCCCCCCCCCTCCGTCGCGAAGAAATCACGACGGGCGGCTTTCGGTGCCCTTTTCGGCCTCTGCATGGGGGCCCTCGCCCGGGGCCCCGGGGCCGTCAGACAGCGCCTCGGGCGGAAGATCTGGTCTGGGGGAGTGGGGCGAGACCTCCAGGAGGTCCACGCTATGAGCAGCTCGCGTGCTGCCTCCCTCCCTGGCGGACGAGGTGGGCCCAGATCTCTGGCGATATGGCTTTTCCAGTTCGGCTTCGGGCTCCGGGGCCCATCATCGGGCCCCGGAGCTCAAACATGGATACAATCAACCCATGAAGGACGCACCATAAGGATGCCAGGGCCTTGGAAGGCCATGCCGACACTTTGCGGGCAGGCCGCGGCCAGCGAAATCGGCCCAGGATGGGCCGAATGGGAAGGATGCAATGGTAACCCTTGGAAAGTTGCTCATCCTTACTATGCCGGTTTTGACTGTGTGAGGCAAACGCCTGCCCGCGGCGTGGCGGTCAGAACCACTGTGGCCACCGCGCAGTGAACAAATCGTGCCGGTGGGTGCCAGGGGAAGAGAAGAAGGGAGGCAGCTCTCCCTGCCCCCCGCCCCCCTCCTCCCTCCAGCCTCTGGGAAACCCCCTCTGCTTCTGTCCTCCCATCCCCGGGCGAAGGGGGTCTTGTTTTCGGTCGGGTCTGAGAGTCGATGTGGCGCACCCCCCAGCCACAACAGCAGTCAGTGTAGCATTGCATGCTTGAGATCCGTACTGTCTGGGCTCCAAACTTCGCGTGCTGCGTGTTGCTTTAGGACGGCGCTCAAGGGGTTGAGGAGGAGCCCCTGCCCGCCCCGTCCCCCGTCTCCGCGTCTAAGCCCCTCTGTCCCCCGTCCTCTCGCCGAGCTCCCTTCCACATGCGCAGCCCCCGGACCGCCCTCTCAGGGCCGCGATGGTGGGGGTGGTCAGGGGCGCCTCGTGGGACGGCAACCTCCGCCACCTCGTACGTCCTCCTTCTCCTAGTCTTTCTTCCTTCCTGCCCCTCCTCGTTCCATCCTCCAGGTCCTCCCCGTTCTCTTCCTCGTCCCCTGTTCCTGCTCCTCGTCCTCTCGTCCTCTGGTCCTCATCCACCTCCTCCTCCTCCTCCTCATCCTGGTCCTCCTCCTCCTCCTCCTCCTCCTCCTCCTCCTCTTCCTCCTTCTCCTTCCTCCCTCCTCCCTCTCCCTGGAAAGCACAACGAAACGCCCCGGCCCCGCCTCTGGGACGGCGACCAGAAACGCCGGGGCGGACAGCTCGAAGAAGCCCCCGCCCTTCACGCCCTGGGGCACGCAGGCTGAGATCCTGACGCCGAATGTGCGAGTCGAGGGAGGAGAGGATGGGAGGGAGGGAGGACGAGTAGGAGGACGACGACGAGTCGTACAGTCAAGTCGCATGGTAAGAATTAACCATTTTCCAAGGCTGCCCTGGCATCCTTGACCCTCCAGGCCGTCCATGGCGGGGTTCGCTGGCCAACCCCGCCCGAAAACGTCAACATTGCCCTCCAAGGCCCTTGCATCCTCACCGCGCTTCCATAGTAGTAGACTTGATTATAGGAACCAACATCAATCGGGGCGCGATCGGTTGCTGAGCGCACACGAGCACAATGTTCCTCCGACGCGGCGTTGGGCTTCGAACACCGCCGAGCAAGATAACGAAACAGGCGTGACGCGCGCAATAATTGTTGCCCACCTTGTGTGGAGACTGTGAGAACGCACGCCGACACACACGCACACCCACACACACCCTCACATATACACTCACACATGAGTCGACGGCAACCGCGTTCGCGTCATATGTGAGCTTGCGCATCATCATGTGGAGGCGATCATGGCTCTTCGGGATGCGGGTCCTGGCAGTGCCCTCCCCCCGCCCAGCCCCCCCGCGCCAGCCATGCGGGGGGAAGCAAAACAAGCCCGCACGTCATTCCACCCTCATAGGCCTGACAGGCACCCCGCGCGCACAATGCGCGTCGCCCACCGCGGCCCGTCTCCGACTCCAACCCGGTTTTCCGAGGCCCTGGTGGCTTGGTGGAGGGCAGAGGCGTGCGGCGGAGGTGGCGGAACTTGACTCTGTCCCGACGCCCGTGTCTCGCGAGCGTCAGCACTGGCACAATAAGGCAGCATCACCAACGCCAGGTGGTGCCTGACTGGGCGGCGATAGATTCGACGCGATGTATTTGCAGGCGGTCCTGGGCACTAATGCGCCCTTTGGGGGTGTGTCGCCTGGGTTTTGGGGACGCCAAAAGAGCCGCAAGACGGCCCAAGAGGACCCCAAAAGAGCCCCCAAGACAATCGAAGAGGGTCCCGAGTCGTCGAACAACCGGTCCAAGACGCCCAAGACGACCTCCATACGGCCGAAGATGCCTCCAGGAGGCCCCGAGAGGTCTCCAAGATGCCTCACAGAAGGGCCCCAAGCGGCAAAGTATATTGACTCCCTTCAGGTGTTGAAAGATTTTGGCGTTCTCGCCGTTTCGTCTTCCCGACGCTCCAAGACGGCCCAAGAAGTTTTCAAGACCGAGCCAAGACGGCCCAGGAGGCCTCCAAGAGGGCCTCATAACGGCCCAAGATGTCTTCAAGACTGCCCAAGAGGTCTCCAAGACGGCCCAAGCGCCCCCAAGAGGGCTCCAAAACGAGGCCCAGATGGGGGACCCGAAAGGATGTCTCGAGCACTCGGCCCCCGGACACCCGCAGGATACTCGAAGAGGCCCACAAGATGCGCCCAAGAGGCTTCCAGACGCCCCCCAAGAGGCCCCCAGGCAGCCACAAGAGGACCCCTAGAGGCCCCCCAGAGGTCCCCAAAAAGATACCTAGATGACACAAAAGAGTCCACCAATGGCTCCCGCGACCGCGTGTGACAATTGGACACGCTCTCTCTCTCTCTCTCTCTGTCTCTCTCAGGCCCTCTTAATCCCTATGAGCTCCCGCGAACGCACAGCAGCTACGCGAAGGACTGCGTTTCCTGAACGTGACTTCACGCGAGAACTTTGGCACACGTGCGCCACCCAACGACCCCCAGTCGCGACGTCCCACGAGAACGCGGCAAAGATAGCCTTCATGGGCCAGTCGCACCAGTTCGTGGCTACTGGGGACGATGGCGGAGCCTCTTCAGAACAGGAGGAAACCACATAGGCCCATGGGGATGTCAGAGATGCCTGTCTGACGCCTCCAAAAGCACCCACGATGCCCCCACAACGCCCCCCACCCCAGGAGGCCCGCCAACACGCAAGGAAATATCTCCAAGGCATTTCGCCAACGACCCAAGCACGGTGGCGGGATGGGCCGGAGGCCACGAGGTCCGCTGCGCCCCCTCTTGCTTCAGCAAAGGGGTGCCCGGCGTGCCGAACCCTATCGGTTTTGGTTTTGGCTCTTTTTCCAAAAGAACTCTCCCAATGGGTTTCGGCCCGTCCCGCCGGGGTCCGGGGATTTTTTCCACGGACCTCACTTCCCCCATTTTCTGCCCAAGACGGCTCCAAGATGGCCTCCAAGATGACCAAGATGGCCCAAGATGGCCTCCAAGATGGTCCAAGCTGGCCTCCAAGTCCGCCCAAGATGGTCCAAGGCGGCCTCCAAGACGGCCTAAGAGAGTCCAAGACGGCCCAAGACGGCCCAAGAGGCCCCCCACAGGCCTCCCAGACGGCCCAAGAGGCCTCCAAGAGGTCCTCCAGGAGGGCCCGAAGAGGCCAAAACCATTGATTTTCCTTAGGTTTTTGAACGATTTTGGAATTTGCTTCTTCTCGGCATTCCGACGGCTCCAGACGGCCCAAGAGGCCCCCAAGATCGCCCAAGAGGCCCCCAAGAGATTTTTGTTTTCCTTGGAGAAGCGCGAAAGCGCAGAGGCGGGAGCGACGGTGCGCAGCGCCCCAAGAGGGTCCCAAGTCGGCCCAGAAAGGCCCCCAAGACGGCGTCAGACGTGCCAGGAACCCACCAAGATGGCCGAAGTTGGCTCGAAGCTGGCCCAAAAGGGCCCAAGAGGCCCCCAAGAGGGCCTCCAGGAAGGCCAGAAGAAGCGAAAAACATTGATTGTCCATAGGTTTTTGACGGATTTTGACAGTTCCTTCTTTTCGGCCTTTCGACGGCCCGAGACGGCCCAAGAGCCCCCAGAGATCGCCGAAAGATCGCCCAAGAGGCCTCCAAGACGGCCAAGATGACCTTCGAGACGCCCACGTGTTCCCCGAAGGCTTTCCAAACCGATTCGGGGAACACATGGTCCGATGGCTTGGCAGGTCTGGCCTCAACGTTCGACCACACAAGACCCCAAGGATGACCTCCAAGACGGCCCCAGATGGCCTCCAAGTACGCCCAAGATGGTCCAAGACGGCCTCCAAGACGGCCTCAGAGAGTCCAAGACGGCCCAAGACGGCCCAAGAGGCCCCCCGCAGGCCTCCCAGACGGCCCAAGAGGCCTCCAAGAGGTCCTCCAGGAGGGCCCGAAGAGGCCAAAACCATTGATTTTCCTTAGGTTTTTGAACGATTTTGGAATTTGCTTCTTCTCGGCATTCCGACGGCTCAAGACGGCCCAAGAGGACCCCAAGATCGCCCAAGAGGCCCCCAAGAGGGCCCCATGACGGCCCAAGTAGCCTCCAAGATGGCCCCTAAGAGGGCCCCAAGACGGCCCAAGACACCTCCTCCAAATCGCCCAAGATGGCCTCCAAGACGGCCCCGAAGCGCCCCAAGAGGGTCCCAAGTCGGCCCAGAAAGGCCCCCAAGACGGCCCCCGACGGCGTCAGACGTGCCAGGAACCCACCAAGATGGCCGAAGTTGGCTCGAAGCTGGCCCAAAAGGGCCCAAGAGGCCCCCAAGAGGGCCTCCAGGAAGGCAAGAAGAGGCCAAAAACATTGATTGTCCTTAGGTTTTTGACGGATTTTGACAGTTCCCCTTCTGTTCGGCCTTCCGACGGCCCGAGACGGCCCAAGAGCCCCCAGAGATCGCCGAAAGATCGCCCAAGAGGCCTCCAAGACGGCCACGATGACCTTCGAGGTGCCCACGTGTTCCCCGAACGCTTCCAGAAAGGCAGGGGGCGGCGGTGATTCGCCGTAGGCGTCTTCGATAGAGACGTGTAACGATGTGCGCGGGCCAAAAAAACTATCTCGGGACGATGGCGGAGCCTCTTCAGAACAGGGGGAAACCACATAGCCCCATGGGGATGTCAGAGATGCCTGTCTGACGCCCCACAACGCCCCCCACCCCAGGAGGCCCGCCAACACGCGTGGCGGGATGGGCCGGAGGCCCCGAGGCAGAGACGTGCAGCCATGTGCGCGGGCAAAACCAAAAAAACGATCTCGGCGTCGGCCCTGTTCGCAGGGGCGGCCGCCGGGGACACGCGGGCGGCTTGGGGCCCCTCCGGGGGCCGCAAGCCTGGCCGAGATCGGCGCGCTCCCCCCCAAAAAACGCCGACCGCGGCATCCTCCATGGGAGCTACGTTGGCCCAAGGCGTCGGCCCGCGCCCACCTGCATCATGCATCGTACAGTGCGGGCGCGACCGCAAGAAGCCTTCGCAAGAGGCCCGACCCTGCAAACCCGCACGCGCGGTGAGAACGGGCGAGGAGCGGTATAACAGAAACTTTTTCGCCGTCGGGGACACCTGCCCCAGGGCGGCTGGAAAGCTTATACCCTTACGGTGGCACCGTAGGGGTAGAAACTTTCCAGCCGCCCAGGGGCAGGTGTCCCCGACGGCGAAAAAGTTGATGTTATACCGTTCTTCGCTCGCTGAATCATACAGTGCGGGCGCGGCCGCAAGAAACCTTCGCAAGAAGCCCAACCCTGCAAACCCGCACGCGTGGTGAACACCTGAGCATCCCGAACGCAGCAGCTTCTTCAACTGTTGCGCGCGCGGAGCGAAGAAACCCAGGGTGCCTTGACGAAAAGCAGATGGTTTCTTGATGCGCGCCCCCACTGTACACCCTAGATGGAGGCAGAATACAGAATCTCGAGTGGTGCTCTCAGCCAGGAGCTGGCACCGTGCCGCGGCTTGCTCGGCCAGCTCGTCGGCTCGGCCGCGTGACTCTCCAGGCGATGGGCCAAAGAGAACACGGAAGGAGCCCAGGTCGGCCAGCCAAATCCTGGCTGGACTTCAAGATCCTGCCGCGCCCTCGATGGAACCCACGCGCAACATTCGAAGAGCCAACAAGGCCTACACAATGCATGGTGCAGTCTGGCGCCCCCATCTGTGGCAGGCCATTGTTCGATATCCGTGAGCTCGGCTTGGCTCGGCCCTGTGCTTTTAGCCGAGGGCGGGAGAAAACGTGGACATGGAGCAGAAGCAGGATCATGAGCAGGCGCAGGAGGAGATAGGGGTAGGCAGAGGAGCAGGCGTAAGTAGGCGGAGGCCGAGGAGAGAGAGAGAGAGAGAGGGCGCAGGACGGGGAGGTTGAGAAAGCGGTGAATGAGAGGGCGATGAACCTGAGGAGAGGGCGGCGGCGGCGGCGGCGGAGGCGGAAGGACGACACAGAGGACAGGAATGCAGAGGAGAGGCTTCCAACGACACCCCTCTCTCTCCCGCCCACAGAAACAGACCACGGTGTCTCTCCCAAGGTCGGGTCGGGCGAAAGGGGGGGATACCAAAGGGGGGGGTGAGAATCAGTATCAGCTCACGTAGCTGATTTTCCCGGCGCCTCCCGGCGCCGGAGGCGGCGATGTATCGAGGAACGGGCCCCGGCGGGGCCGAAACCAGCTGCATGCAGCAAATTTCGTAACCCCCCTTTCCCAATCCCCCCCTTTCGCCCGCCCCGACAGGGGCCTCCCATCGGATGTCCAGGAGCCCCCCCCGCCGGGATCGCGGTGGCCTCTCTCGGGGCCTGCAGGGGCTCCCCACGACCCCGAGGGCGTGCCCTTGCACTCCGCGGCCCCGAAACTCCCCACCACCGCGAGGACCCGCCTCCCTCGGGACCCCCCAATCCCTTCGCGACGTCGGCAAGGCATCGGCGCCGTCGGGCTCCACATCGAGCCGCATCCGCCATGCGTCGGCGAGGCGGCGCGATCCGCCGACCCCGTCCACACCGACCCCACTTGGGAGGCCGGGAGGACTCGCGAGAGGCGGGGTGCGTCTCGTGCCGACTCCATCGGCGTTCCTTCCTGACACCGCTGGGGCCGTTCAGCCTCGACCGATCGGCCGTCTCCGAAGCGTCGGATCCTTCCGCACCGCCCGCCTCCGGGCCGCCGCCGGCGTTCGCCGCTGAGCGCCGGCGGCGGGGCCGCCGCCGGTCGACAGGACGCGAATCTGCCGTCTCCGCCTCGATCCTGAGGAGGAGGAGGAGGAGGAGGAGGAGGAGGAGGCTCCCGAGAGGCGCGAGAGCGGTCCTGACCCGGTCGACCCTGACGATCTGCAGCGCGTCGCCCGGCTTGCCGCCCTCGGGCACCTGGACGCGCATCTCGGGGGGCGCCGCGAGCCGCAGCCGCGCCCGCTCCCCGGGCCTGTGGTCGGCCGGCAGCTGCACCTCTCGCGGCAGGCCCGGGGCCGGAGTCGCTCTCGGTCGGCCGCGCGCTTCTCGTCGATTCCCTGCTCGTCCTCCTCCTGCTTCTGCTCTTCCCCTGCCCCTCATCCTCCGTCCCCTTCTCCCCTTCCCCCTCCTCTTCCTCTTCCTGCTCCTCCTGTTCCGAATGGCCACCCGCATCATCATCATCATCATCATCATCATCATCATCATCATCATCATCATCATCATCATCATCATCATCATCATCATCATCATCATCATCATCATCATCATCATCATCATCATCATCATCATCATCATCATCAACATCAGCATCATAATCATCATCATCAGCATCATCATCATCGTCATCATCATCATCATCATCGTCATCATCATCATCATCATCATCATCATCATCATCATCATCATCATCATCATCTTCGTCACCATCGTCACGCCCATCATCAGCAGCAGCAGCATCCCACTGTGATGAATTTAGCATACCTTTTTTCCATCACATCGCCGCCCTCAATCATCCATATTCTGATGTGCTGATGTACATGGGCTCCGATCACCTGCGATGCTAGGCTCAGCGGCGCCCCAGAGAACGCAGGCACCCGAGTCAAGGTCTTCACCACAGACGCGGTCACGTTCCAATTCTGCTAACGAGGGCCGCGTCGCGCCCCACCCCCTCTGGTACAAGCAGCACATACACACACTATCGCATTGCTATAACAAGGAAACGCAGCAACCAGTTAGACCTTCACGCAGGTGGCATCGCACTGACACAGATGACAACCATGTAATCGATGGCGTGCGAGCACGGGGCAATCGGCAGCAGGACCAGAAACAAAAATCGGAGGGAGCCAACGCACAGGACCCAGCCAGAGACAGTCGGAGACAGGGCCGTGCTAATGAGATCGGCGGCAGACAACGCACAGGACAGGGCCAGGGACAGGCCGAAGCGATGCGGGGCCAAGGAAAACGGCGCCGACCAAAGACACAACCAACGCGGACTGAGGGCGACGGCGTTCCAAAATGGGGCCCTCGCTGCATTCTTTCTCGCAGCAACGTGCACTTATCGAACAGCTGCAAGGGTGGACAGGCGATTCTTCCTCAGAGTAGGACTCGATTGAGACTCCCGTAGGAGGAGGAGGAGGAGGAGGAGGAGGAGGAGGAGGAGGAGGAGGAGGAGGAGAGGAGGGGGAGGGGAGGGGGAGGAGGAGGAGGAGGAGGAGGAGGAGGAGGAGGAGGAGGAGGAGGAGGAGGAGGAGGAGGAGGAGGGAGGAGGAGGCTTGACCGACCCTGTGCGAAAGATCGCGCAGCAGCTACGAATGGAGACCGCGCCAACGCCAAAACGGGGCCCTCGCGGGACACCGCGCTGGAATTTACGCTCGGACCTCGTCGACGTCACTCGGCCACCGTTGGAAGTTGGAAGGGCGTAGAGCAGATCCTCTTTCGAAGCGGGCTTCTCCCGAGGATGGCAGGGGTGACCGTCTGCCGAAGGCGGTCATTCCTGCAGCGAAGCGGAAAGTCTGTACGGACTGATGAAGGGAGGATTTGGAGCTGAAGGGTGTGTTGGAGCTTCGGTAACGCGTCCTGGGTGAACTCGGGTCCTCTATCCCCGCGCGGGCGACACACTCTGGCACTCACACCCGCACGCCCACCCTCGCTGACTTTCCACGCCCATACACACAACCACCCACACCCACCGGCACCACGTCCTCCGCCTTTTCCTCCTCCTCCTCCTCTTCCTCCCCTTCCCCCTCCTGACATTTGAACCCTATCCTTCTCCCCCTAGTGTTTACTCGATCTTCACGGTCCCGGGTTCGCACCCACCCGACCTCCACGGCGCCGTGTGGGCCCTCCGCGACGGTCATGGCGCCCGGCTCCGCGCTGCGCGGCAGGTTAACCTCACGAGGAAAAGAACGAGCAGGAGGGGGGGGAGGAAGAGGAGCAGGTGGAGGGGGAAGAGGAGGAGGAGAGGAGGAAGAGGAGGAAAAGGAGGAGGTGGACCAGGACGAGGACGAGGAGGAAATTCTAGACTCTGTATTCAAAAGACGGCGACCAAGAGCAAGCTTTCGCGCATGAGCGCATTCAATCGCAAACAGGGAAGGACATGCCCGACTTCGGGGCCAGACCCCGAACGAGACGAGAGAGGACTTCACGGCCTGACGCCGAGGGGGGAGATTTGCTCCCATCATCTCGCGCCCTGCATGCACACTCAGCACCGAGCCTGCGCACGCTGTCCACGCTGTACAGCAGCACAACTCGTGCAACACTGCATTCCTCTCAGAACGTCAAGAACATGACGATCGTGCACAAGAGGTACATGAGGGTGGTCCGCGGGCCGTCGCCGCTCCTGCACTTCGCCGATGTTGAGGCGAGGTTCAGCCCCCGCGGCCAACTCCTGACGGCCCCAAGCCTCCTCAACCTGGGCGAAAGAGGAAAGGGTGGCGCAGGGGGGGCGGGGTCCAAACTGGGACATAACACCCTTCTTCAGAAAGGATTGCCTACACATATGACATTTTAAGACGGTGTTCCTCTCCATCACGCTATGGCAACATGAAGTGAAACGCCGCCTGCGAGCCTCTGCGAGGGTGACCCGCAGCGGCCAATCCTTCCCTCGAGCTGGCGTCTCGTTCACAGGTAAGAAGAACTGCCCTCTGGATGCCAACAGCCGCAAAAAACATGACTTGCAAGCTGCCAGCACCTGCTGCCGTGGCAACATCCTCGGGGGAGAGCTCCCCTCTCTCTGCGCCATCGTTGACGCGCAGATCTGCAGCGCGGCGAAAAAGAAACTCAATGCTCGAGGCGCGCATTGCCTGGGCCAGGGTCGGGTGGGCTTTCGTCCAGCGAAGGTCACCCTGGCCTGACCGGGGCCCCAAGCGATGCACTCTTGCCCCCGTTCGCCCGCAGCTTGGATTCCCGAACGCGCCGGACGACAAGCAAATGCTCATTAATAAGCAGAGGGTTGCTCTCCGTCTCCAAGAGGACTGCCAGAAAGGGCGCAAAGCTCAGCGCGCGGCGAGCTCTGGTCGCCCGCGGGGAAAGCGCCAAACGCGCCGCCCAGCGACATCTTCGGAATCATGACGGCTCTCCAACCGCACCTTCTGAGCCTCAAATCCTCAGCGCCCTTGCCCCCCGATCCATTGATCCCGCGGACGCCCCCGTAGGCGACGCCGCCCTCCCTGAGTGCTCCAAAGGGGCCGCTGGAGAGCCCGCGGGGCAGGGGGAACGCTCGCGGCCTGCTCCAGGGACATCAGCCCACGGAGCCAAAGGGAGGAGAGGCGACCGCTTTCTGCGATCGCCGTCGGGGCAAGATAAGCAATGGCCTGCGCGGCCAGGCTCTCCCGCTGGTCATTGGCGCAACACTGCCAGAACCTGTGAGGAGGCGTCTCAGGTGCCTCGCCACACCTCGGGCAAGACTGCGACGCGCAGTATCCAGCCTCATGCAACGGGGCCTCGATCCCAAATATACCGTTCCAGGTCGTTCTCAAAATGGCCTGCGATTCGTTGCCCAAGTTGCCACCGAGGTGTTTGTTCAGCATTCTTTGGCGGTGAAATCAAACCCCGCCTGGGCCCGCCCCCCAAATAATGGCCCGACGCCTTGCCCCAGGCCCACTCGGTACAGGCCACCTGGAAGGATTCCCACATATGGAAACGAAAATCCAAGGCCTCCAGGGACAAGGCAAACCCAAACTCATCATGCCAAAGACATTGGGAAGCAGAGTCCCATTGCAAATCTAACAAGACCACAGCCGTCGCAACGGCAGGACCTTGTTCTCTCCGCCGTCGATAGTTGGCGGGGATGTCTTAAAACAGAACAGCGGAGGTCTTCCAGACCTGCGAAACCTGCATCTTCTCACGCGGGTCTAAAGCCGACCACAGATCATAAACAGCTTCAAATGTTCGAAGCGCTATCAGAACACAGGGCCCTCTTTCGTGCTACAAATCAAGGAAAGCACCGCGGTGGAACCGGCCCCAAGGGCCCACCATCCAGAGCACCGTGCCGCCCGGCCCCTAAAAACTCGAACCTGGCGGAGCGAGGGCCCTGGGGCCCGGTGGCCCCTGGGCCCCGCCGTAAGCGCACCTGGTTGAGTGTCAGCCGCCCCCTGATGCAGACTCGGCAAATAATGCACCTCGGGGCCCCTCCTCCGAGGTCCAAGCCTCCGCCTTCCCACGCGGCAACCTTCCGCCGACGCCGCGCGGCAGTGGCGGGCCCGGGGCCCCACGCGTCAGTCAAGAGATGGATGGGGCGGCCAGCTGCGCGGAGGCTTCTGGCGACGCGCTCGCCCAGCGCCTTCGAGGAACAAGCCAGGGCAGACATGCCACTGAACAAGCATCCCAGCTTCTCGACCTCATGGCCATGGCGGATATCACCAGGCGCAACTCGAGCAAGCGCCAGATCTCCTCTCCATGCATACCCTGCGACATATCGCCCACATAAGCTCGGGTAATCACCGCGGAGAGGTTTGCCACATGGACATATGGTTTTATCCTAGGTGTACCCCGGGCGCAACAATGAAGATACCCCGTTCCTGGCCTGCCCACGGGCGATGCGCCACCTGCAACCTCAAGCGTACACGGAGAGGTACGCATTTAAACATCAAACATTCAACAGGTGGGGCATGCGCCATACCCATCGCGAACCGAATGAACGTCCTAGGGTGCACCGGGCCAGTGTTTTCCAGATCCCAGTGCAAAAGCCCGTGAGGCGGCACCTTCCTCGAGGGGGGAAACATTGCGCAACTCCCGCATCAAGCTGGCTTTAAGAGCAGAGGACCCTTTGATTGCGGTGCACCAAACAGCCGAGCGCTCAGCCGCCCAAGTGTCGATGTCCGCCCCCTCTGAGCTTGATGTAAACCCGATGTAGAAGGGGGGCTTTCCACGCTGGTCGTTCATCGGTCGCACTCTCAAGACGGAGAGCGGTCCACCCTACGAGAACTTAAGCTGGCCACGACATCTGGGAACCGCATTGCTGGTGCAACGACGCAGCGGCTTTCTGAGCCTCGAGTGGGAGGCCGAGCAAAGCGCCAGGGCGCCAACCGTCGACCCCCACAACCGTGCCAACAATAATATAACGACAGGCCTGAACACTTCTCGCCTCGATCGGTTCGAGATCCTGGACCCGGGCAAGGGCCGCCGCGCAAAGGCCAGACACGGGGTCACCCAGCTGCAAAAGCTCCTCACTAGAAGTACCCAAGTACCCCCCCACACACACGCCCCCCCGCGCCCCACCCCTCACACGCGCACGCGCACGCGCGCGCACGCGCGCGCGCCCCGCCCCACCCCCCATCCACCTCTCTTGAGCGCGATGCATCACCCATTCTTCATGGCGCGGTAACATAACCCCATGCTGCAGATAATAAGCCCTAAGGGATCATAAAATTCTGGGTTTTCGGGGGGATAGTAAAAGTTGCCCGCCAGAGCCAGCATAAAGAGATATTAAGCTGCCAGAGAGAGAAGGACATCCAAAAAACATATATATTATATATATATATATATATATATATATATATATATCTATATAACGACAAGAAGAAGAGCAGGGGGAGCAGGAGGAGGAGAGAGGAGCGGAGAAGGAATAAGCGAAAATCCAAAGTTCAAAACTTATTAGATTTAATTTGTAAACGCTTAATGGAAATTAAGGTTTCCATCTGCTCGCTCTGCCTAAGTTGCCCAGGATAATCAGCCACAGCGATAAACAGTCTCAGGCGGGCAGGGGGACAAGAAGAAAAAAATAGAAAGAGAGAGAGAGAGGGAGAGAGAGAGAGAGAGAGAGATAAAGAAAGAAGAACAGACAGAGCAGAAGGATGAGAAGGAGTAAGAGCAGGGGAAGCAAGAGGAAGAGGAAGAAACAAAAATCCAAAGTTCAAAACTTATTAGATTTAATTTGTAAGCGCGTAATGGAAATTAGAATTTTCATCTGCTCGTGTAGGGTAGCTCATGTGCTTAGTTTTCCCTGGATAATCAACCCCAGCGATAAGCAAGTTCAGGGGGGCAGGGAGACAAGAAGAAAAAGAAATATAAAGAGAGTGATAAAGAAAGAAGATAAGAAATATGAGAGTGATGAGAAGGAGGAAGAGCACGAGAAGCATGAGAAGGAAGTAACCTCGATGGCGAACTTTTCCCGTGATAATGAAGTTCGGCCTCCGCGCCCCCGCGCCCCCGACCAAACTCTTATTGGTCGACGATAAAAAACTCTAACTACTTAAGGGGGGGGGTATGTTATTATCGTGGGCATGGGGTTAATCGACAAATGGTTCAGCTTCACGCTTCACTTAAGCATGAGCCTACTCGGCCCCGTGGGGGGCATGCGTGACCAGCCAGGGCCTGGCGCCCTGCTGGGGCGCCGCCTGATCTGCCGCCCAGGCCCCCCGCAGAACCTCAGCAAATATGGCGATCAACCGATCGACCTCCCCGGGATGAGCGAGCGCATCCCCGGCGACCTGATCGGCCCACCAGGGGGCGGGCAGGGCCTCGTGCACAACTGCAGCAAAGTCAGCAGCGCGAGGACCGAGGCCCAACGACAATGCCACTGCGACGCCTGGAAGCAACTATCTCTGGGACCAGGGGCGCTCTGGCTGCCGAGATCTGGAATTAGATCCTTCCCGACGCGTAACGAGGGCGGGCCTTCGGGCGGCGGAGCCACCCCTCCAGACACAGCGAAAGCACAACCAGGAGGGTCCAACCGAGAAGCTCGCAGCCCTCCGTCTACGAAGCACAGTGCACGTCTCAACAATTACGCAGGACAATGCGACCAATGCGTCATATGCGGACCCCGAAGCGTTGCGCCCGACTCCCCCCGATGAGCGATGGTCGCCGTCGTCGTTTAACAAAATCTCCCCCCCTTCTCACGCTTCGCCATCTTCGCTCTTTCACTGCCGCGCATGCCCGGGGGAATAGCGCGTTCTCCGCGGCCTGGGGCAAGAAGGCATTGAGACGAAACCTGAGGCGACAACTGCTCAAGGGCATGAGGGGCCAGGTTCTCCATCTGCGTGGGGCGCTGGCTGGGCGACCATGACTTTCCGAGAAAACCATCGCGGCACGCCCCGAAAGGCCAAAACCGCAACGAACTGACAACTCGCGCGGCATGATCCTTGCGCAAGGGGCCAGATGAGAAACTTCGTGGGCAATCTGGATCCGGAGGCATCTGCGAGTCTTGAAGGGCGAGGGTTCGAAGAGGCTGATCCCCGCAGAGGGCGCCAACTCGTTGGAGGACAGGGTGTAGCTCATAACTGACAGAGCCACGCACCATTGCTCAAGTGATCAGCACCTCCAGGCGCCGCAACCCTCGCGGGCACCGGCCGAAGAAGCCCGCGCGGATTCATCGTTCCAGCCAGGGCGTTGGATTCTCCAACCAACGGCCAGGGGGCCGCCAGGGCCCGAACAAACCCAGAGATGCCCCTCATCCTGGACAAATTCTCACCCGAGACCCATTGGCCAAAGACGAAGTAACAGACCCCAGCGGCCATCGGTCATCGCGGCCTGCTTGGTTTCCAATTCAAACAAAAAACACCCAGCGACTGCCCGAATCAGTCCCGGCCACGATGCCACTGCGGGCCAACGACCCCTTAAAATGCAAACTCTTGCGGACCGCCACCACCGCCCCCCGCGCGACCCGCCCCCGCCCTTTGGGCCGCCTGCCTGGAAACGCGGCCGCCGAATCATCGCGGCGCGCTCCCTCTCGGCCGCTGGAAGGGCGCAAGTCTGCAGGCGGTGCTCGTGGAAAAAGAAGGCGCCCGCCACCTTCCGGACATGGGGCGCAAATTCCGCGGCGATCTTAAACCGGGAGGCAGGTTGCAGAGTGCGAGCTTGACCCCGCGGCTCAGCTCGCGGGCGCTCTGCGACGACCCCCCCGCGTTTCGCCGACCGCCGCCGGGATAATTCAGCGCGCCAGAACTGCCGCCCAAGCTGCGGGGCCACTGGCGCGGGCGCCGCTGCAGCACGCAACGCCTCCTTGAACTGCTGGTTGAAACCATCCCGCGCCGTCTTGGGCCCCCCGGCCGCCCTGGCCTCGGCCGTCTTCGTTTCGCGCAATCCCACGCCTTCTTTATGCTTCGCCATCCTCGATGTTCGCTGCTGCGCCCTCTCGGGAGAATAGCGCGTTCTCCGCGGCCGAGGGCCAGTGGAGGCATTGAGACGAAACCTGAGGTGACAACCGTTCGAAGGCATGAGGGGCCAGGTTCTCCATCGGCGCGCGGCGCTGGCTGAGCGACCGCCGCCGCCCGAGCCAACGGCCGCGACGCGCCGCCCCGAGGGAAGATCGGGGCCGCAACCTACTGACAACTCGCGCGGCACGATCCTTTTACAGTAGGCCACTTAAGAAACCTCGCGGGCCACCTGGGTTCCGAGGCACCTGCGAAACTTGAAGGGCGAGGGCTCGAAGAGGGACTCGCCAACGCCCGAACGAACTCAGGGGTGCCCCTCATCTCGCACACATTCTCACCCGAGACCCATTGGCCAGAGACGCGAAGTAACAGACCTCGATGGCCATCGCGGCCTGCTCGGCTTGCAATTCAAAAAAACAGCAAGCGTTTGCCCGACTCAATCCCGGCCACGATGCCACTGTGGGCCAACGACCGCTTAAAATGCATACTCTCGCGGGCCGCGACAACGGCCCCCCGCGCGACCCGCGCCCGCCCTTTGGGGCGCCAGCCTGGAATAGCGGCCGCCGAACCATCGCAGCGCACTCCCTCTTGGCCGCTGGAAGGGCACAGGCCTGCAGGCAGCGCTCGCAAAGAGAGAGAGAGAGAGAGAGAGAGAGAGAGAGAGAGAGAGAGAGAGAGAGAGAGAGAGAGACGAGAGAGAGAGAGAGAGAGAGAGAGAGAGAGAGAGAGAGAGAGAGAGAGAGAGAGAGAGAGAGAGAGAGAGAAGAGAGAGAGAGAGAGAGAGAGAGAGAGAGAGAGAGAGAGAGAGAGAGAGAGAGAGAGAGAGAGAGAGAGAGAGAGAGAGAGAGAGAGAGAGAGAAAGAGAAAGAGAAAACGCACGCCACCTTTGGGACATGGGGCGCAAATTCCGCGGCGAGTTCAAGCCAAACTGCAGAGTGCGAGCTCGCGGCTCCGCTCGCGGGCGCCCTGCGACGATCCCCCCGCGACTCGCCGACCGCCGCCGGGATATTCAGCGCGCCAGAACTGCCGCCCAAACTGCGGGGCCACTGGCATGGGCGCCGCTGCTGCGCGCAATGCCTCCTTGAACTGCTCGTTGAGACCACCCCGCGCCACCTCGAGCCTCTCGGCCGCCTTGGCCTTGGCCGCCCCCCGCAGAGTATTCTCGAGGCGGCTGAGCTCCTCCTTGGCAGGGCCAGTGGATTGTCCCCGCTTCCGAAGCGCACGCAACTCATCGTCCCCGGCAACGTCTCCAATCTCGCTGACCTCGCCCCCCACGTTGAACATGTCCCCATCGATGTCGGACTGATGGATCTTCTCGTCAGGCGCGAAAGGCCCCCCGCAAACCTCGCGAGACCTTCGTCTCATTGCGTCGGGCCCGAAGTATCTCAGCTGGCATGTTAGCCAGGCCAGGCGGCTGCGTTGGGAGCCCATGAGCTGCTTTAGCACGCGGGTCGTGAGCGTGTCCATCTGGTGCATCGCGGGGGTCGCCCGCGGGGGGGGGGGGGGCGCCTCGGGGGGTGCGAGCTCCACCCGTGGCGTCAGCTGCGGGGGGCGTGGCCCGCAGCTTCTGATCTCGCCCCTCCTAGGCCGAGCGGGCTTCCGCCACCTTCGCCGCCTTCCACTGCTCAGGATGGACAAGGCGCCGGATGAGGTCGGCCCGGTTCCGCTCGCCACCGCCTTCCCATGAGCTGCAGCAACCGAAAACAACTGGGCCGTCCCCTCACCAAACTGTTCACGGATGTGGTTGAGCTTCGTTTTCCTCTGTTCCGCCTCCTGCAAGCATGACCGCATATTCCAGGCCGCCCCCTTCTGCCACCTTTGCAAGGCGGGTCTTTTCCGCGTAGGCGACCGCGTCCATCTGGGGTGCCTACCCGGCGGGGACTGGCCCATCTAGCACTGCAAACTCCGCCATGTGGACTTGGAACTTAAGTCGAAACTTCAGAAGCTTAACTGCAACTTCGCGCAGCTCGGGAGGGACATCACCAGCATCTCCTCCAACGTCGCCTTCAATGCCAGGTCGGGCTTCACCTCCCACATATGCAGTAAGACCCATGACATTTCAAGCACTGAGCATGTCCATGGTATGACAATTCCCAATGAGCGGTCATTATTCTTCTTGTTGGTACCACCTCCGCATGTGTCCTGGCCTCGAACCTCGCCGTCGGCCTGGAACGCCAAAGTTCCATTGGTGCTCCCCTTCAAGCCAGGGACACGCTCGCCGCCACGATGCCAAGGAGCAGCACCTTTCGCCATGGGTCTTTGGGTCGCGCTCCAGACGGCAGGAACGGGAAACACCTCCGTTTACCCACCGCCCCAAACGCCCCGTGCGATAGAAGACTCAGCCGGACTTGAAGAAGTTCTGCCAGCCGCGGACTATCCACGTCTTCCCCAGCGGAACACAGCATCTTGAGCCAAAATGGCGACGGGGAGGAGGAGGAGGAGGAGGAGGAGGAGGAGGAGGAGGAGGAGGAGGAGGAGGAGGAGGAGGAGGAGCAGGAGAAGCAGGAGGAGGAGGAGGCGGAGGAAGGAAGAGGAGGAAGAGGAGGAGGAGGAGGAACATCAGGATGAGGTTGAGGAGGGGGATGAGGATGAGGATGAGGAGGTGGATGAGGAGGAGGAGGAGGAGGAGGAGGAGGAGGAGGAGGAACAAGAGGAGGAGGAGGAGCAGGAGCAGGAGGAGGAGGAGGAGGAGCAGGAGCAGGAGGAGAAGCAGGAGGAGGGGGAGGGAAACGTCGAAACGGCCCCAGGCGGCCTCCAGCAGTTGCGGCTCCAGGGAGGCGGCCTCCCGCACGCCGGGCGCCGGGCCGCCGCCAGGCGCCGCGTCCACCACGCAGGGGGAGCGGCCCAGGTCCTGCACCTGGGCGGCGACACTCGTGACATTCCTCCCACGCATCAACCAGCACTGTGCCTCAACCCTCACGGCCGCTAAAGTTGTGGATGCCACGACGATGGACACCCTAAGAGTCCGATCATTGAACTAGAGATGTGTCTACAATGTGTGAAACATGTTCTGAAACTATTGCAAACATGATTTTCCATATTTAGAACATGTTTGAAACATCACCTAGACATCTGGAAATTATTCGGCAGCATGCTTCCTCTCCATTAATCGACTTCCACAACGCTAAAGATACGTGGGAAAGGGGCCGGGTCAGCGAAGGAAGCGGGACGAGGCTCCCCACCTGCCAACGGAGCTGAAACACGTGTCATCCTCATGTGGAGTGGCCCAGATGTTGAACAAGACTGAACCTGCCGGCGTGTGAGATTTGCTGAGGCTAGTTCGCCATTTACACACGTCGGCACGTCGACTGCACCTGGTCGGCGAAATCCCCCCAGAGTCGGCGGCGCGCCCAGGGGGGCAGGCAGGGGGAGCGGGCCTCCTCAAAATGCTCAGAAGGCCTCCTGTCTTCTGAGAAGCGTTTCGCGTTTCAAGCTTCCTCCGAAGGCACACGGGGGCCTCTCGGAAGGCTGGCGGGTTTCCGAAAAACCCTTAGGTCACGCATCAGCCAGCACTGCGAATCAAATCTCACTGCCGCTAGATACGTGAAAACAGGGCCAGGCCAGCGAAGGAAGAGGGATCGGGGAGACCTAAGACTCGGGTACGGGGGACTCGGGTTGGCCGGACGGGGCCACCATCAAAAATGACGAGACCCGATCTGAAATTTCACGCGAGCTCCCGCTGCAGACAGCCCACGAGAACTGGACCGTCAAACTCCAGGACGCGCTCGTCAAAAAACGTCGGCAAACCCGAGTTCCGGCTTACTTGAGCTTGAGTCTTGCTGAAGGCCCCCTGGGACACACAAACAAATACGCACAAATAACAGGAGTCTCCATACTTTCCCATACTTTCTGGGTTTTTGTCTTCCCCACCGCTTCCCATTTTCCGATACTTTCTAGGGAGTCGACGATTACTTGTGTCTGTGTGTTCTTCTCCCTCCTGAGACACTCCTGATATTCCTCCCACACATCAGCCAGCACTGTGCCTTGGGACGCACGAAGACATACTGAGACTGCACGTCCGCTTTGGAGGCGAGCGTCCGACCCGCACACATAGTATCCCCATCTTGTGGTGCATCGTTTCCTGAAATGTTTTTTCCCCCCCCCCCCGCGTCTGGTCTACATGACCTTCCGCAGCCTTCGGATCACGGAGCGAGCACCTGGATCATATGCTTCCAGCGCGCGGGGAAAATCGCTGCCTCGGAACGCCTGCGCTACGTCAGCACCGCTCGCAGGTAAGAGGAACACGCAGGAGCAAAGCGCACCACGCGCACGAAAAGAACGCGCCCGCCACGACGCATACGACGCGGGAGTCGACGATTCATTGTGTCCGTGTGGCAGCGGCCTTGCGCGGTGGCCTCCGCCGGCCGCCGGCGAAGCACACACCGCACACCGAGGCACACCGGCGGGCCACGGCGCTCCCGCGCGGCCTCGCCCGGGAAGCTCGCGCGCGAACGTCGGCGCAGTCGGCACCGCGCTCTTCCGACCACCACCACCGGCGCGAGGAGCCAGGAGAGGGGGGGTACCCCCCTGGGGGTATGGCCCGCCCGCTTCCCCGCTCGGGGCATCCCCTTGTCCCCCCTTCCCCGCTCGAGGCGCCCCCTGTGTGCGCAAGCGGGTGAGGCCTCGTGGACCGCTTCTCGCTGGAGGTGGCACCCCTGGTGGTGGTTGTCGCTGTGCCACAACTTCCTGCACCTGGACCTCGAAGATCGGAACCTTGCCGTCTCTGGGGCGTACATTCCCCGTGCCCTTCTCGGTATCGCGCGTGCTTTGTTGCTCGATGACCCAGGGTGATCCTCGACGGTTCTCGCCGAGGAACAGTGCACGCGCCCGAGCGGTACCAAAGAGGAGAGAAGCAGGGACCACCGCCACCGAGAAGCCATCGGGGGAGGACGGGCCCCCCGGGCGGTGGCACGCCCGAGCGCCACCCAGGAATGACAGGGCGACGCTCGGACGTGCCAGCGCCCAGGGGTCCGTCCCCCCCCGGATGGGTTCTCGGTGGCGGTGGTCTGGTCCCCTGCTTCTCCGATGCGAAGGGTCGGCGGCGCGCCCAGGGGGGGGGGGGGGGAGTGCGAGGGGGCGAACCTTCTCAGAAGGCTTTGGAGTCCCCCGCCCTTCTGAGAAGTTCTCTGCGCCTTCCCGGGAGACACATCGGACAAAAAACCTCTCAGAAGTCGCGAGGGCTTCTGCGCACCGCCTTCGGAGAAGGAGGTCTCCTTCTCACTTCCCCCCCTTGCTCGCCGCCGGAAGAAGAGAACCGTGTACATAACATAAACCATACTCTTCAGGAGGTCCGCGCGGATGTCTTGCACCGGCGCTGGGCATCCCTCCCTGTCGCGCGGAGCGCGCCAGGACCGACGCCGGGGGCGCCGCCAGGGGGGGCTCAGCGCCGATCCACGAGATCTGCTCGGACATCCGAGCGCGTGCTTACGCGGGCTTCCTTCTTCGCGCATCGGCGACGCACACCCGCAGTAAGCAGTGGCCCCGGGCAAGGGTGGCATCTGTTGCGCGGCCCGCCCCTCGTCCCACGCGGTGCGCCCGCACCGCCCTGCGCGCCCAGGTCTGGCCCCCCTGCGCCCCCTGCAGGGGATCCCACCAGAAGTCAATCCGACTGCGGGTCGCTCGTATGCGTAGCCAGCCTGAGCGGGGACGCGCGTCGGAGGAGCCCACACACCCGGCGGCCCGAACGTGTCGGAGCGAGCGTTGTTTCGCCATTCTGGCCCCCCTCGGAAGCCGATCCCGAGCCCTGGAGCTGTCAAGGAACGACTCAGGGGTCGAGGGGGCAAGGCGTCGAGGGGTCTGGGCAAGGCGTCGAGGGGTCGAAAGACCCTGGGCAAGGCGTCGAGGGGTCTGGGGGGCAACGTCCCTCATCGTCGTCTTCGTTATTCTCCTCCAGTTGAATCCTCCCTTTTCTGTCCGCTCACCCTATCCCTCATCCTTGCTCCTTGCTCTTCGCCACACCTCTTGACATACTCCTCGCTCTATATTAGTGGCCGACCTCGGCACTTATGTGTCCACCTCGTGGGGTAAAGGGGATGCAGGGAGGGGGACATCAAAGATGTATGGAAGGTTTCTGCAAGTTGTTAGCTTCTGTTGGCATAGGCTGTACGCAAGTCAGCTCGAACAACTGGCACGGGTTGACACGGAGAACGGGGGGGGCATGGAAAGATGAGATGGAGGGAAGGAGGCAAGAGAAGACAGAGAGGGAGAGGAAAGGAGGGAAGGAGGGCATGATGAGGAGCAGGATGGGAAGAAGAACGCACGCGGAAGACCCAGATGAAACGGAGGGCGAGGAGGACGAGGAATACGGGGTGGGGCGATGAGAAAGAAGGCGGAGGAGGCGAAGGAGGCGAAGGAGGAGGAGGAAGAGGAAGGGGAGAGGCAGGAGACGGCCGACGAAGTGGAGGGAATGGGAGGGGGAAGGAGATGAAGAGGAGCAGAAGCAGGGCCACGAAGAGGATAATGAGGTATGAGGACGAGGGGCAGCTGAACAACTGCTGCTGGAACCTTCCAAACACCGTCCTGACTTCTTGTCGGCCCGCGCGCCACACCGGCCAGCGGCCACCAGGGGCCCGTCTGTGGGTCAACGGAGAAGAGGTGCTTCCAGCCATGCGGGCCCCACTAGCGAGATACGAAGCGCGGATCGCGCGACAAGGGCCCGATTGGGAATGCTGCGGCGCCGAGGTTCCTGGGGAAGACCATTGGTGAAAACTCTGGGGCCACCTGGGGCAGCAGCCCGCGGGGGCTCATCACTGGAGGGACATCTGGCGAGGCGTCCAAGTAATCGGCCTCCCTGGGGGGTATTTGGGGGGTGGGGCAACCCTGCTAGTGGGCCTCCCTGGGGGCTGGCCTCTCACAGGAGGGACTCCAAGCGGGGACTCCTTCGATCCTCCTCCTCCTCTTCCTGCTCCTATGTCTACTCCTTCTCCTCCTCCTCCTCCTCCTCCTCCTCCTCCTTCTCCTCCTCTTGATGCTGCCCTCCTCCTCCTCCTCCTCCTCCTCCTCCTCCTCCTCCTCCTCCTCCTGATGCTGCCCCCTCGTCCTCCTCCTCCTCCTCCTCCTCCTCCTCCTCCTCCTCCTTCTCCTCCTCCTCCTCCTCCTCCTGATGCTGCCCTCCTCCTTGTCCTCCTTCTCCTCCTTCTGATGCTGCTCCTCCTCCTCCTCCTCCTCCTCCTCCTCCTCCTCCTCCTCCTCGTCCTGCCGCCTCTCCACCCTGCCCCGGGGCAGGCTGCGTGCCCCCCCCCCGCGGCACCCTGGAAGGCAGGCCCCTGCGGCGCAGACTCGAGGGCTGACCGAGGCCGCCCGACCCGCCCCTCTGGGGCACTCCCGCACGCGAGGCGCCCCGCCCCGCCGAGGACTGAGGCACTCGCCGGCGGCCAGAGTCGGGGCGTGGAGCTGCTCTGGAAGAGGGACCGCCGCGTCGGATCGCCGCGCGGGAGGAGCCCCCCCTGGCAGTGCGGGGCGCCGTGGGAGGGGCTCCCTGCGGAGCCTCCGCTCGGGGCGTCCGCACGGCTCCGCTGGCCGCGAGGCGCGAGCAGGCGTGGGGCTGCACACGCAGTGCGCCCCGCGCGTGCTCCTGGCAGGGGCGGCCAGCTGCCACCGGCAGGGCGACCAGACGGGAGGCAAGGGAGCTCGCTGTGCTCGCACGGGGCAGCTGGTGCAGAGCTCCAGGGTTCCAGCTGAGGAGGGTGAAAGGGAGGCAGAATGTAAGAGGAATGCGGGAGGCGGGACGGAGCGGGGGCTTCCACTGCGCTTGAGACCTGCAGCACGCTGCGAGACCGAAGCGCCTCGAGAGCAGCGGAGGTGACATCCCGGAGTTGCTAAGCGAGCGCCCTCACAGCATGAATAACAAAACTCCAC